GAATTTTTTTTAACATTCCTCATGAATGTAAATTTGTACTATTTAACTGACTTCTTGGTGTAAAATCTTGTCATGTGTAAAAAAATAAAAAAGATCCCAAATACCCAGTGTCTTGTTTATGGTTTTATAATATATAGCATGGCAACTGTCTTACTCAGCTGATTTTCTTTAAATCATGACAACTTGGATTTGCACTGGGGCATAATAGATTAGGCTGCCACTTGGAAGGTCTATACCAGCATCCCAAATCAGAATGCTGGTTTGAGTCCCAGCTGCTCCGCTTCCTGCCCAGTTTCCTGCTATTGCCCTGCGAAGGCAGCAGATGATGGCCCCTCCACTAATCTGGGACACCCAGATGGAGTTCCTAACTCCTGGCTTCATCAGGCCCAGCTCCAGCTCTTGTGACCATTTGGGAAATGGAACCAGTAGATGGAAGATCTTGCTGTGTTTGTCTCTCCCTCTCTGCTACTATGCCTTTCAAATAAAAATTGTTGTCAAAATGAACTGGGATTCTTCTTATAAAAGTAAGTTTGTCTGAAGAAAAGTTTTGTTAAAAGTTTGGGTTAGAAGCCTAGAAGTTAAGACACTACATGCCCTCTCAGAACTCCTGCATTCATGGTTGGCATTGGTGGCGCAGCATGTTAAGCTGCCATCTGCAGTGCTGGGATCCCATATGGGTACCGATTTGAGTCAGCTACTCCACTTCCAATCCAGCTTCCATCTAATCCCTTGCGCGAAAGACAGCCCAAGTTCTTGAGTCCTGGCACTCATTTGGGAGACCTGGAAGAAGCTCCTGGTTCCAGCTTTGGCCTGGAAAGCCCTGGGCTGTTGTGGCCATTTGGGAATAAATCAGTGGGTGGAAGATCTGTCTCCCTCTCAAATAAATCTTAAACAAACCTGGTTCAATTCTCAACTCTCTTTCTTTACAACTTCCTGTCAATGGCACACCCTGGGAAGGGGTAGGACCAGGCTCAACCTGCATTCTTGCCACCTGGATAGCCAACTCCTGCCTCCAGCCTCAGCTGTGAGCATGAACTCTGTCTCAAAAATTAAGAGATTTTACTTAAATTTTTTTTTTAACACCTATAGGGTGAAGATCATGTTTATTACTGAATCCTGAACTCCATGTAGATTGTTCTTTCCATGTTCACTTTCCAAGAGGTGGATCTTCACATTCCCTTCAGTTTTGAGTGTGGGCTAGGTTCAGTGATGGCCTGCTACAGAACAGTATGGAAAAGGAGGACCTGAACAGGAGAAACCTGGCATATACTGCCTTAACCAAGCGGTGCCACTGTCTGCAGTGATGTCATGTGCCCCACAACAGGAGGTGAGAAGGGCATTTCACCTCTGGAATTCTTCCCAAAACCCATAACCTCAGCATCAAAAGAATCATCAAACAGGTATAGAATGTATAAGCTATATTACTAGGTTTAAAGTCATGGAAAATGCTAAGATTCACAGACTGGAGATCAAGGATACACTACAACTAAAGGTAGTGCTGTATCCTGGAATAGAAGAGGGGATAAATGGAAAAACAGGTGAAATCCAAATAAAGTGTAGTTAACAGCAGCATAGCAATATTGTCTCTTAACTTTGATGTATACAGGGATACTCCCAAAAGTTCATGGAAAAGAGCTGAAATATAAAAAGTGGAAATCCATGCAGTTTTTTCCTAAAAAACTTTTGAAGTGCCCTTGGTATAGAAACAGGTTACTGCAGTTTATAGCAACTGTTGACTGCAACTCTTTTTGCAATTTTGTGTAAATCTAAACATTCCAAAAGTAAGTTTACCTTTAAAATCACCCACAATCCTACAGAGATAACAATAACCACTGAGTGAAGACTAGATGAAGCTGTCATTTGTGGGAAAACAATGTCCCTAATTTCACTAGTCAATCGTATAACCCTGTGGAATGGTGGGACTTTTTTTCCATCTTTGGAGAACATGTGTTACATCCTCAAACAATGTATATTAGAAAATTCTGCAAAAACCTAATTCACGTAGTTACAGTACACGATTTCAGCTTACAGATTAATATCATCTCGTACCCCTTTCAGTGTTTGTTGTAGTTCTCTTGGTCTCATTCTTTTTCCCTCCACCTTAAGGTATTTTTCTAGCATTAGTCTGCACTACCTACCCACTTTGACATTACCAAATTCCTTACTGTTTTTAAAACTGCCCTGCTGCTTTTCCTCTTAGGGAAACAGAATGGCAGCTCAGTCATGGGACGCCCACTACAACAGAACAGCTTCTGACAGTGCTATATTAACTGTTACAACGTTTCCATTTTTTTGGCCGCTGAATTATTTTTAGTGAATGTTCTTGTCATGTCATACATTCAAGTAGTGACGTCTGACACTTGTTCCTCAGAATCCTATAATAACAAATTCTAATTTTCTACTGTTCCCAGCGAGAAACCAAAAACATTCTGCTCCCTCCGTTTTTGATAAAAAACTAGCAGCTTTTACATGTCTCTTGCACAAAACCTTGCTTAACTGGCCTAATTAAATTGCCACACAGGCTGCAACAGACTTAAGAAAGACTAATCTAGTACTGCTTTAACTTTTGACGAACATGACTTGGTTCTCCAGGAAGCACTGAGATGGAGTTCCACACACAGGATGCTTACTAACGAGCGCCCTTGGAGCAGCATCTGTAGCAGGAAAGCAAGTGAGATGGAGCAGTGAGAAGTTGAGCAGCAGCGTAGGCCCAAAGAGCACCTCGCTAAACCTCCAGGGGAGATGTGGAACCAAAACAGAGCCCATGGGGTGCTGAAATGGCCACGCCGCTCTGCCCCCACCTTCGTCACTGGACACAGGGCTCTTCAGGAGACTTGGTTTTGAGCAAGGCCGTTCTGCCTGGGGCAGTCCGTGGTGAAGGCATTCACTCACAACACTCTTGGCACTGCAGCCACCCGTCTCTCCTTGGGGAATCTGGATGGAGCATTTCTGCACCCACCACCATGCACATTTCCCAGAGAGAGGTCAACTTCAACACAGGAAGAAAATATGTATCTTGGTGAAAGTCACTTAGACCAGCACTTACTAAAATAAAGATGGCATTTTTACTTTAGGTGGATTTTTATCAGTTATAAAAATTGTTCAACATCATGAAGTCCTGTCTTGTAGGAGAGTAGGGTTCAAGTCACGACTCTTCCTTGGATCCTTTACTCTGTTCCTGTAAACAGAAGCTAAGGGAGGTGCTTCTGCAGTACAGTTCACTGCACTCACTGGAGACGAGGGTCATCCCTTGTGCACAAACTGGCCAGGAGGGGCAGGTCCTTTCTTCATGCAAAAGTGAGCGATGCCGGGCCCTTTGTTCTGGAAGTGCTGAGGGGCTCCTCAATACTATCTTCAAATGCATGATCAATCACCAACACCGCGTCCACAGGGCTTCCTCCCTGAGTTCCAACCGAGGAAGCTGTGCAACTAGATCTGAGTTACTAATCCTTTGGAAGCCATTTTCTAAGTCCTGTAATTTCTTTTTTTATTTTATTTTTTGACAGGCAGAGTGGACAGTGAGAGAGAGAGACAGAGAGAAAGGTCTTCCTTTGCCGTTAGTTCACCCTCCAGTGGCCGCCGTGGCCGGAGCGTTGCTGCCAGCGCACCGTGCTGATCCGAAGGCAGGAGCCAGGTACTTCTCCTGGTCTCCCATGGGGTGCAGGGCCCAAGGACCTGGGCCATCCTCCACTGCACTCCCTGGCCACAGCAGAGAGCTGGCCTGGAAGAGGGGCAACCGGGACAGAATCCGGCGCCCCGACCGGGACTAGAACCCGGTGTGCCGGCGCCACAAGGCCGAGGATTAGCCTAGTGAGCCACAGCGCCGGCTTAAGTCCTGTAATTTCAAAAGGTCAAGACTTCTAGTCTCAAGCTTCTTGCAATTGGTAGCTGCAGCAAGCTTCACCATTTGCAAAGCATATAATTTTTTTTTTTTTCAAGAAAATAGCAGTCAAGTTCACATAAGTAAAACAGCGGCAAACAGCAGTCCCAACTCAAAACCATCTTCTACTTCAAAATCTCGGGCCTCTCACTAGGGTCAGCTCCCACTCATTTGTCACTGACAGAATCGGAAGTCCTTTGGTACTGAAAGCATCCAATAAGGCACCAAATGGCATGGTGGCAGAAAATAAAATCAAAGATCTCACATTTGGGGCTGGAAATAAATCAGTTCATTCAGTTGCCTTGTTAAACTAAAAAGCACTGACTATAGAAAATGAAACAAGTTTCGTGTGCACTTGAGGATTTAATATTGAAGATCTCAACACAGGTCACAAACCCCCTCATGGAGCTACCCGCTAACTGGCGGGGAAAGAACCCTCAACATCATCTTTAAGAAAGCAGAATTCTGAGATGGTCCTGCCCTGAGCAGAACCCACCTGCTCTATAATTTACTTTAGTCCTGAATGCAGTCAGGAAGGGTTGAAATGTTGGATTTCGTTTCCTAGGGCTGTTGAAACCAGGCGGCTCACAACACAGAGACTGACCCTCTCTGTTCCGAAGGCTGGGAGAGTGAAGTCCGGGAATCAGCAGGGCGTGCTCACGCATCCTTGGCTTCCAGCGGTGGTGCTCAACCCTGGGTGTTTCTGCTTTAGCTGCGTGACTGGCCTCTGCCTCTGTGCAAACATGGCGGCATTTTCCTCTTGGAACAAAGACGATCCATTTGGGATTAGGGTCCATCCGACACCTCATCTTAACTCAGTCCCATTTGCAAAGACTCTATTTCCAAATGAGGTCACACCCCCAAGTGCTGGAGGTGAGGGTTTCAACAGTTTTCTAGGAGATACAATTCAACTTACCACAGTGCCCATTAAAGACATTCAGTTACTAAAACATACTTTACAGGAAACATTAAATGCCAATCTTGTTTTTTTGGTTTTCAGGGATTTCTCAGAATTGGCAGAGAACTTGTAAAAGACCCAGTCACACAAAGGTTATACTTTTGTTATATATAAATAATACTTTATAATATTTAGTGAAATATTAACTTCACACCATTAGCATTCATTGTCAATATTACTTTTATTATACTTAATTTATAATCCCCATTTGCCATTGTAATCAAACTCATTCAGAATTATAACATCATGGTGTTCAAGATTAAGTATCTTCCAGACCTCATTCAGGAGGCTGACAAGAAGCACTTGAACAATTTACAAGAATTACTGGTGAGTTCAATTAAATTTCCATGTATCAGTTAATATCTACAAAGCACCTTCTCTTGCAGTTAGCATTGGACGGCAGCTCAAAAAAAAAAAGCAGTTTTATGGCCTGGGAAAGCAGTAGAAGATGGCCCAAGTCCTTGGGCCCCTGCACCTGTGTGGGAGACCCAGAAGAAGCTCCTGGCTCCTGGCTTCGGATCGGTGCAGCTTCGGCCATTGTGGTCATCTGGGGAGTGAACCAGCAGATGGAAGACCTCGATCACTCACTCGCTCGCTCTCTTGCTCTCTGCAACTCTGCTTTTCAAATAAATAAACCTTTAAAAAGTAGTTTGACTCAATATTAAAATACACATATAAGAGAGAGTTATTCACAGAACTCTTGGCAGAGTTGAAGTTTTTACTGCTGAGAAGTCTGAGGTTTATGTTGTCTCTCTTTCAGACCCAAAAGCTCCGTTCTGAGTTCTCCACGCTTCGGTGGGATTTCAGGTATTGTCTACAAAAACAAAAACAAAAACAAAACACAGATGCTAGTATTCTCATATGATAATCCAATGTGATTAGAAGACTTTAAGCCAAAGAGTAAAGAAGAACTGCTTGCTGCTCAGTGATAACTCTTACAAAACCTCTGGTTGACCCAAGTCCCTTTCTAACGCTGTTATTTATATGATTCTATCATCCTGGATGTCATTAAGGACTACAGGACTCACACACATCATTATCAGTGAGAGTTGGGAATTTGAGTAAAACTTACCGCAGGTGAAAATGCACTGCTAAACTACAAGGGCTCTTCAAAAAGTTCGTGTAAAACGCACATTATGAATAACTATGCATGGATTTCTATTTGTTTTTAAGATTTATTTATCTGAAATGGCACAGCAATCTTCCATCCACTGACTCGCTTCCCAAAAGGGCCACAATAGCTAGGACTGGTCCAGGCTGAAGCCAGGAGCCTAGAACTTCACCTGGTCTCTCACGTAAGTGGCAGGGGTCAAGGACTTGGATCATCTGTCCCTGTCCTCCAATGCACATTAGTAGGAAGCTGGAGTGGAAGTGCAGCAGAACTCAAAATGGTACTCAAATATGGGAAGCCGACACCACAAGTGACCGCTTAACCTGCTATACCACAATGCCAGCACTGGCTTTCCTTTTTTGTTATGTTTTGTTTTTACACTAAAATAATCTTTCTAATTCCACTTTCCATAAACATTTTGAAGCCCCCAGGTATTTACTGATTCTCCATGTGCCCGGCACAGAAAATAGATATTAAGAATTCATTAGGGGCCGGTACTGTGGCTCACTTGGCTAATCCTCTACCTGCGGCACCAGCATCCCACATGGGCACTGGGTTGTAGTCCCGGTTGCTCCTCTTCCAGTCCAGCTCTCTGATGTGGCCTGGGAGGGCAGTGGAGGATGGCCCAAGAGCTTGGGCTCTGCACCCGCATGGGAGACCAGGAAGAAGCACCTGGCTCCTGGCTTCGGACTGGCATAGCTCCGGCCACAGCAGCCATCTGGGGGGAGAACCAACAGAAGGAAGACCTTTCTCTGTGTCTCTCTCTCACTGTCTTAACTCTAAACAAACAAACAAAAAATCCATTAATTTATTCAAAATACTAAGTACTGTTATGTGCAACATATGAAGGAGTGAGCAAATAAATAAATAAATAAATAAATTCCCCGCTTCAAGAAAGTGATCGGGGCTGGCGCTGTGCTGCAGCGGGTTAATGCCCTGGCCTGAAGCGCCAGCATCCCATATGGGCACCAGTTCAAGTCCCGGCTGCTGCACTTCCGATCCAGCTCTCTGATATGGCCTGGGAAAGCAATAGAAGATGGGCCAAGCCCTTGGGCCCCTGCACCCGCACGGAAACCAGGAAGAAGCTCCTGTCCTGGCTTCGGATCAGTGCAGCTTTGACCACTGCGGCCAATTGGGGAGTGAACCATCGGACGGAAGATCTCTCTCTCTCTCTCTCTGTCTCTGTCTCTCCTCTTTCTGTGTAACTCTGACTTTCAAATAAATAAATAAATCTTAAAAAAAAAAAAGAAAGAAAAAGTGATCAGGAAAGACATGAGGTAACTTGTTAAACAGTTTTCTTGGATATAATTTACATACCACCCATTTAATGTGTACACACACTCGGAGGCAGCAGGTTCTTGGGTCCTGCCACCCACTTGAAAGATCCGGACTGGGTTCCAGGCTCCTGACCTCGGCCTGGCCCAGTTCTGATTGTTGTGGAATCTGGGAGTGAACCAGTGAATGGAATCTCTCTGCCTTTCAAATAATTTGAAAATATTCTGTTTTTTCTTAAATCAAGAAGCCTGCAGTTCTAAGAAAGCTGCTGTAACATTCTTTGTAAAAACTACATAGCACATAAATGTCATTAAGAGATTGATCAGGGGACCAGCGCTGTGGAGCAGCGGGTTAACACCCTGGCCCGAAACGCCAGCATCCCATATGGGTGCCAGTTCGAGACCTGGCTGCTCCTCTTCCAATCCAGCTCTCTGCTATGGCTGGGGAAGTAGTAGAAGAAGGCCCAATTCCTTGGGCCCCTGCACCCGCATGGGAGACCTGGAAGAAGCCCCTGGCTCCTTGCTTCGGATCGACGCAGCTCCAGCCATTGCTGCCATCTGGGGAGTGAACCGTCGGATGGAAGATCTACCTCTCACTCTCTCTGCCTCTCCTCTCTCGGTGTAACTCTGACTTTCAAATAAATAAATATTTAAAAAAAGAGAGAGAGAGAGAGATTGATCAGTGCAGCCTGCATTGTGGTGCAACTTAAGCTACCACCTGTGACGCCAGCATCCCGTATCAGAGCATCAGCTGAAGTCCCAGCTGCCCTACTTCTGACCCGGCTCCCTGCTAATGCGCCAGGGAAAGCAGCGGAAGGTGGCCAAAGTGCTTGGGCTCCTGTACCCACGTGGGAGACCCAGATGGTGTTCCAGGCTCCTGACTTCAGCCTGCCCCAGCCCCAGCTGTTGAGGCCATTGAGAAGTGAACAAGTGAATGGAAGATCTCTTTCTCTGTTTCTCTGTCACTTTGCCTTTTACATAAAAATTACTTTTTAAAAAAGAGATTGACCAAGTAATATTTAAAACATACATGTAAGGGCCAGTGTTGTGGCACAGCGGGTGTCGGCATTCCATATGTGCAACGCTTTGAGTCCCAGCTGCTCCACTTCTGATCCAGCTCCCTGCTAATGCGCCTAGGAGAGTAGCAGAAGACAACCCAAGCACGTGGGCCCCTGCCACCCATGTAGGTAGGAGACCTGGATGGAGGTTCACGCTCCCAGCTTTGACCTGGCCCATCACCATCCACTGAAGCCATCTGGGGACTGAACTAGTAGATGGAAGCTCGCTCTCGCTCTCACTCTCCCTCTCTCTGTCTTTCAAATAAATAAATCTTTAAATATACACACACTTGACATGAAATACAATGATTAGAAAAAATGCATATATACAAATGTCTATTCATGCAGACATTACCAAAACTAATGCAGAAAAATGTGCATATGAACTCCCATTTATGTGGGGAAAAACATCACAAATTGTGCATACACAAGCATTCAATGACTAAAAAAATCAAAGGATGCACACCACCCAATCGATGTGGGGGGGCCTGGAGAAAGGGAGTTGCGAGTGGAGGATCTCCACTTCTAATGTTTTACAGGAGTGTGGCCGTATTTTATTAAGGGAAACAAAAAGGCAACACTAAACAGAAAGCTTGGGTTCAGATCCTTAAGTCAATGCCTCATTGAGCTGTGCGGCATTGGGGAATCGCCTACGCTCTTCTGAACCTGACCCAGTTTCCTCGTCTGAAAACAGATAAACACCTCCAAAACTGTAGTGACCAGGAACTCGAACCAGACACCCAATGACTACTGTCCAGGCAGGGTCTAAGCACAAGCGACTGCCCCCTACACGGTGCCCCAAACCACTCCATTCACGGCTACAGGGCAACACTAGCGCATTCTTGCAATGACCCCCAACCCTTCTTTCTCATCCCCACCTCCCCAAGCCCATCATTCTCCAAAAATTTCTCCTTCCTTTAAACGCCTGTAGTCCCTCACTCTTCATTCAACAAATAGGTACTGCGCATCCCCTCCATCCCAAGCTCCTTTTTAGGAGACACAACGGTGACCCCGTGAGACACAGTCTCCGCACGGAGCTTACACTCTAGCAGAGCACGCAAAGGAATAAAATCGCACGTGGCAAGTGCTCTATGGAAAGAAAGGACCGAGTCGGACCAGCCGAGGGCGGGTCTTCGGGACCTGGACAAAGGAACCTCGTGGCTGCAGGGGACATGTGAGCAAGACCTGAAGTTTTGAAGAAGGAAACCAAGCCAAGATCTGAAAGGCAGGCGCCAAAAAGAAGGGCGAGCACGGCCCTGAAGTGGAGGGAGGTGTGACGGGCTCGAGAAACAGCGCGGGAGCCGGGTGGGAAGCGGTAGGGGCTGGGCGGTGGCCAGTGGGGCCGGAGCAGGTGCACCCGCACACGCCCTGCTCCACTTGCAAAGCGCTGTGATCCCAATGTCCTCTAAGAGCCCTCTGGCTGCTGGGAGAACGCGGCGGCAGCCAGGACGCTCGGGCACTCACCAGGTCCGGCCGGTAGTACCTGTGCACCACTTCGGCCCCCGCGCACATGGCCAAGAGGCTGGCCGCGAACATCTTCAGGTAGGTGGGCCAGGACACGCCCGCGGGCATGGTGGGCAGCCTGGGCCGGGAGGGAAAGGAGGCGGCGTTAGAAGGTCCCCGGCGCGGAATGGTAACGCCGGGCTTCTCTGCCGCGCGGCGCCGGCGCCTCGGCTTCCTCGGACCGGACGCGAGGCGGCTGAGGGACGAAAGCCCCTCCGAGACTAGAGCCAGCACTCCAGCCCTTCGTCGGCGTGCGGCGCCGGGCCGGCGGCACTCGAAAGCAGCTCTCGAGGAGCCTGTCCCACAGCTCCTGGGAAGCAGGAACTGCACTCCGTACCGCCCCCACCTCGTCCTCTAGACCCGCTCCGGGGGAGAGCGTACCACCAAGTGCACAGGCGTCGGGCAACAGGGCTGAAGGCGGGCGAGGTGCGCCCTGGAGCCCGGGCGGACCGAAAGTGCAGGGGCTGGGGGCGGAGCCGGAGGGGAAAGCGGAGGCACTGCCGGCCGGCGCGGACACGTGACCAGGGCGGAAGTGGGGCAGGGCCGGGAGCCTGGGCTCCCTACTCCTTGTTGCTGTCCTCATACGCTCGCTTTATTTCCCTGGCAGAAGTAGACTTGGGGTGCGTTCTGGATTATTGCATCCGGCACACAAAAAGAAAATTGCGTGCGATCTCCACCTTTGTGGAGATTGGCGCACAGCGTTTGCGCGCAGTGAGAGAAGGGCCAAGTGCTGACTACGCTGGTGCCCTTTGACAGTGTCCTTTGACACTGCAGTGGAGCCACACTCAGACAGCTGTGTCCTTGTGCCACGGTGCTCCTGGGAAAGAGGAAACCTGAAGTAGACATTATTTAATCCACGCATCTTTACGTTTTAAAAAAGTATTTATTTGAAGAGCAGAGTTAGAGAGGGAGAGACAGAGAGGGCTTCCATCGGCTAGATGGCCACAATGGTCAGGGCCGGGCCAGGTCAAAGCCAGGAGCCAGGAGATTCTTCTGGGTGTCCCACGTGGGTGCAGGGGCCCAAGCACTTGGCCCACCCTCCGCTGCTTTCCCAGGCCTATTAGCCGGGACTCTAACCTGCGCCCATATGGGATGCCATATGGGCCCCTCCATGCATCTTTAGATTGTATTTTGGTTGGGGGTTGGTTTTGATTAAACAGAAGGTTAGTGTAACACTGAATTCTGAAGGATCAAGGTTGTGTGTTTAGTTTGAATTAGGATACACTCATATGTGTGCGTATATATAATTTGAGATTGATCTTCCACCTGCTGGTCACCCCAACTGACTATAAAGTCAGGGCTGGGCCAGGCCAGTGCCAGGAGCCGGGAACTGCATCTGGGTCTCCCTCACGGGTGCGGGAGTCCAAGCACTTGGGCCATCTTCTGCTGCCCTCCCTGCTAATGCAGGGAGCTGGATCGGAAGCAGAACAGAGAGGACTCCAACCAGCGCTGCGACATTGGCCGCTGGGATTGCAAGCAGCAGCTCAGCCGGCTCCACCACAATGCCAAACCCACGTATCTGTAAACCTTATTATCAGAGATCTTCCATCCATGGGCTCACTCCCCAAATAACTGCAACAGCTAGGTTGGGCCAAGTGAAAGCCAGGAATCCAAGATTCACCCATGTCTTCCACAAGGGCAGAGACCCAAATACTTGAGCTATCACCTGCTGCCTCCCAAGGAAGCTGGACTCAAACCAGGCACTCTGATATGGGATGTAGACATCCTAACATCCTAAGCCGTGCACCAAATGCCTGCCCCTCATATTTTTATAAACAATCTTATAGATTTTACATGATAAATGCATATTTATTCAACTTGATGTGGTTTTAAAAATGTGTATACTTGTGAAACCATTACCCAAATCAGTATATCCAACAGCTCCAAGGTTTCTTGTGTGTGTGTGCTTCTAATCTCTCCCTCCCCCACTGCCTCACTTTGTGGGTAGTCACTGATCTGCTGTCATTATCGATTAGTTTGCATTTTCAAGGATCTTATTTAAATGGAATCCTACAGTAGGTACTTTTGTTCGTATGGCTTATTCATGCAACCCAGTGCATCCACGTTGGTGCTTGTATCAACTGTTCACTCCTTTTTAATTGCTGAGTACCTTTATACTTGCTGCTGGACATGTGGGTTGTTCCCAGTTGTTGGCTAACAGAAATAAAACTTCTACAAACAGTGAAGTATATGAGACAAGTGCAGGACATTATGCCGAGTGAAAAAGCTGGACCAGAAAGACAAATACTGCATGTTCTCCCTTATATGTCGGAGCTAAAATTTAAAAAGCAAATGAAAAGAAATGTGTGTTATTGCTGCAAATATAGTTTTGTAAAACTGTTTTATACCTTTGTCAAACCAATAGTAAGGAATGTTATAGTGAATAGATTTTCCCTAAGCCCCTGTAACTTTCTTTTTTTTTTTTTTTTTCTTTTTTGACAGGCAGAGTGGACAGTGAGAGAGAGAGACAGAGAGAAAGATCTTCCTTTTGCCATTGGTTCACCCTCCAATGGCCGCCGCCAGCGCACCGCGCTGATCCGAAGCCAGGAGCCAGGTGCTTCTCCTGGTCTCCCATGGGGTGCAGGGCCCAAGTACTTGGGCCATCCTCCACTGCACTCCCGGGCCACAGCAGAGAGCTGGCCTGGAAGAGGAGCAACCAGGACAGAATCCGGTGCCCCGACCGGGACTAGAACCCGGTGTGCCGGCGCCGCAGGTGGAGGATTAGCCTAGTGAGCCGCGGCGCTGTAACATTTTGAAATATTACTAGTTTCATTGAAGCTTCACACTATCGATCTGATACAAAATAATCTTTCCCTCTTCCTGGCTCCTAGCACGACGGCACAAGGAGCACAGGGCGCCGCCAGCTCCCAGCTCCCGAGCCGCGGGAGAAATGAACCCGGTTTGCTGTGAGCCACTGGGGGTTGGCCAATTTTTCACAGGAGCCCCGTTTTCCATCATGCAAACCCGAGAGGCTGCAAAGCTTATCTCCATTAGGAATTACGAAGGAAGTGCTGCGCAAACAGCACCGAGAGCGGCCGCCAACCAATGAAACAAAAACCAGGGCAAGAACCACGGAGACCGAGGCGGGGCAGGCGACGCCGGAACGGCAGGTAGTACTCCAGACTTCAAAGGCCGCCATCTCGCACATCCAAATTAAAGCCGAGAACGCTCCGTGCAGTGTTATACTTGACAGAGCAGCTGCACAAACACCCTCAGTTTCCAGTTTCACGACGGCACAGCGGCCTCCCCGCTCAGGCTTTCCGATTCCAAAACCTTTTCCTCTCCCCCGGATCATATTAGTTACCTGACAATGCAACGCACTGTTTCTTAATCGGGATAAAAATTGGGGGTGGCGAAGCCTGGATAATGCTGACACCTCCACAGCGCCGCCAGAGAACCCCACCCTTTCACCCACGCGACCGCCCAACCCCGAAAACTCAGCACGGACGAAAGCTGACGCCACTGGGCGCGGCCCCTCAACCGCGGTTCGTCCTCCACCTTCCCGAAAGGCCAAGCGGCAGAGCACGGGTCGCAGGACGGGACGGGCAGCGGACGTGATTGGGCTGCCCTGCATCACGTGGTGGCCACGACGCGTGGGACCCGGATCTGAGAAGGCGGAAGTGGCGCATGGAATGGGGGCATCTGCGGAGGGAGGGGGTCTGGAGAAAAGTGAGGGTGGAGCTTAAGGCCAGCCGCCGTCCCGGTCTTGCCAGCAATCGGAGCCAAGTCTCTGGGATCGTACCGCCGTGCGAACCCCGTCGTACCCCAGAGACCAGCCGGCCGCTTGCTTGGCAGGAGGAGTCTCGCGCAGGCGGCCGCAGGGCATGGAAGCGGAGAACGCGGGCAGGTAAATCCGGGGGGCGGGGCGCGGCCCCTCCCCGCGCTCCCCGCGCCCCTCGCGGCGGCCTGCGGGCGAGCGCGCGCACGCTGGGGTCTCGAGCTGCTCGGGCCGTCCGAGCACAAAGGCCAGGGCCGCGCGTGCGCACCGCGGGCCTGCGCCGGTCACGGGCTCGGGCCGCTCCCGGTGCTCCTGGAGCCGGGGTCGGTGGCCGCTGGTAACCCCTGGGCTTCGACGTCCGGTAGCGAGCAGCCGCAGTCTGGGTGGTATTTCTTTCCGGATGCCCTTCCTCCACCGTCCAGCACCGTGCAGACTGTGACGAGGGAGTGTCCTAATCAGCCGCAGTTTTCCTTGTGTAGTTAGTAGAGTGACGGTGGCTTCCTCCCCAGCAGCTCACTGAAAGGGGTATTAAGGGTGGATACTGTTGCCATGGGACTCTGTGTAGCAATCAAAAGCAGTCCATCGAAAACCTGCGAGGGGTCTTGGCACGATCCTAAGAGTCTGTCTAGTGTCCTTTGCGAGCGTTCGTTACGTCCAGAGAGGGTTTTGCGAAGGCACAGAGTTAGAGGTTCGAACTCCTAGCAGAAAGATGAATGAGAACTAAGGTCCCCGGGTCTTTAAAAAGAAAAAAAGAATGATTTACATTGAAATAGCATACTGTTAGGCCTAAAGAGGAGTAGCCTGACTCTCAGCGCCCAGTGCTGAGCTTGGGCCAGACGCCACAGTTCTTTGGGCCTCCTGTTGAAGCCTGTAAAATCAGCACCTCTGGAATCTGTGGGTGGCTGCCTTGCGGAAGGTGGGTACTTAAGTAACCCAAATAAGCAGTCTTAGAGTTAGGAAGGAGACACACGCAGATTACGTGTGTACTTGATCCTGACTTCTTGGGCCAAATGCTGTACTCTGCTTCTTTCCCTGAAGACTTTTACAAGTAAGAGAACTCCCAGAACTTGTGGAAATCTCTCACCTTTGTGATCCTCCTTTTAAGAGCAGAGTTCAGTCTGAGCTGAGCCTACCACCAAGTGCATCAGGTATTTGAGGCCTTATTTTGTGTCTTAGTAGCAGAATAACTGGACTGAAGTACATGCTTTAGCTCAAAGCTGTGGTTTGTGTTCACTTCCTCCGTAGGGCTGTTCTGGGGCATTTTTTGTTGGGACTTGCAAAGCTGTCACCTTTAGGAAATGAGGAAATTCAGTGTAGCATTCGAAGGAGTTTCTCTTCGAGGATCCGGGAATGACTCAGACCTGGGTCATCCTGAGACAGTGGTTCTCTGCCATCCTTGATTTTGGGCTGATCCAGGAATGGAATCTGCATATAATAAACTTTTTAGTTTGGAAGAATAATGTTAAAACATTCGAAGGAAAATATTCCATGGACATAGACTCAAAATGGAAAATAGTCAAGAGTCTTTAAAGGCGACCACAGTCTAATCAGTCAGAGAGGGGAAGAGGAGCAGTTGTGTAAGGGGACTAGGATGTTCCACACAGGAAAGGGACTTCTACCCAAGACGGGAAGTAGGATGCCAAACCAAGGGAGACTTGAAAGAGTTAAACAGACGGAAAGATCAGTCCTCAGCCGAGACCCAGATTTCTGGGAATGTTAAATGAACCAGGAAGGGCTGTTGTATTAGATGTGGACAAAGAGAAGGACAAGCTTTGGGTTTTTTTTCTGCCCAGCCCATCAGCATGGTGTTAGTGAATGACAGAAAGTATATTTAGTTTGTGTTTTGATTTTACACCTCCCATGTCGAGGAAGACGATTGTCGGGCTGGAAATGGCAGAACCAATGTCCGTAGGAGAAAGGTAAACCTCGAGAGCAGTGAGGCCCTTGGAGGAGACCTTAGGCTGCCTTTGCAGAAACTGTGTCCTGGCCTAGCGGGGAAAGGCCAGACTGCAGCGTTTGGGGACTCAGAGACAGCAGGCGCGGGATCTGAAGTGTGGAAAGAAACAGGTGTGTCCACATGGACACGGCTTCTGAACAGATTTCGCTACGTGTTCTAAAACGGACCAGTGCATACCAGGCTGTAGTGTGTGTTTAGAAAAAACAAAGACCAACCTGTGTAGACTGGATCGGGGGGATGCTGACAAGAGGCACCTCCTGGTCTCTACTGTTGCGGCAAGTTGACTGCATACCAAGCACTGTTTGGGTGTTTTATGTGTACTAACTAATCCTCATAACCAGTGAGTTGGGTACTGTTGTTCCCAGATGTGGAAACTGGGGATAAAGAGGTTAACGAATTTGCCTGCAAAGCTAGCAGCTAGCAGAGCTGAAATCTGAGTCTAGGCAGTGTGGCTCCAAAGTCTGCCTTCCTAGCCAACAGCACTGCCTCACTGCTTCTCTTTGTGAGTGGGATGAGGATGAACTGATGGTGAGTCCAGTTAAGCAAAATCAAAAATCAATTTCCTGCCTGGAAAGTCAAAGGAAGACGAAAGAAAGGTCCATCCTGACCAGCCACAGGGCTCTGTCTCCAACTTCATTCTTTTCAGCAGTTGAACAACTTCATGATGCCAGTGGCACACGGATAAGATCTGAATGACCCAACTCTGGGCGGCGTTTGTTGAACTGATAGGTTGAGGCAGAATCCCGATTCCGGCAGGCTAGAATGGGGAATCATCTTTTACAGAAAGAGACGCGGTCCTGTCTCTGGTGCGGGAAACCCATGATGAAGTGTGCGACGAGAGAACAGTGATGGGAGAGCAGTTGTCCGTGCTGATAAACACGGTGTGAATCAGCAGCATAATGTGGGTGCCAGTAAAGCTAACGAAATGGGTTCTGCATTGAGGATGAGAAAACTGATGGCCCTGCCCAGGCTGATGATCTTGTATCTGGAGTATTTTATTTGATTCTGGGTACAAAAAAAATGACCAAACAGTGAAGACACATACATTCGTATCACATGAAGAAACTAGGGCTGGCTCAAGTCATTATATTCATATTTTCTAGTACAGACTGCACGTGTAATATGCTCACCTCCGTTTAGCAATATGAAATACAGTGTTCTGGTAGTGATGGTGGTGTTCCATTATAGGTCACGCAATATGAGCATTTGAATTGTTTAGCACTGATCATTCTTTTGTAAGTATTCAGTTTTGCATACGCATGTTTAAGTGAAGATAAAATTTATTCAGAAAACAAACTTAAATAGTTAAAATAGTGTAAAATAACTGAAGACTAAGTAAGTTGGAGTCAGTAACTTTCATTTGCTTGAGAGGCACTGACAGAGAGAGGATAGAGAGCGAGCTCCTCCATCTACTGGCTCACTCCCCAAATGCCTACAGCAGCCAGGGCTGGGCCAGGCTGAAGTCAGGAGCCAGGATCCCCATCTGAGACTCACACATGGGTGTCAGGGGTCCAAGCACTTGAGCCATCATCTGCTACCTTCTAGGACATTAGCAAGAAGCTGGATCAAAAGGAGAACAGCCAAGCGTCACACCAGCACTCCCATATACGATGCAGGCAGCTTAGCCCACTGTGCCACAGGGCCCACCCCCTGCAGTTGGTAGTTTTAGAGAAAACTTTTATTAAAGATTTTGTTTTCTGAAATACAGCAGATCTGAATCAGCTTGTCTTCTTAATCAACTCTGGATGTATATGTATATGTTTTGAGAAAGACTGTCAGAAAATTAGTTCATCTGTTTCAGGCACCTGTCCAAACCAGTCCTGTGAGCCGTGTAGTTCCATGAAAGGAGGGCACACGTGGAGGCCAGGAGAGAAGGGATGAACTGCAGGAAGAGAAATGTCCTACAGAGCAGTGGGGGTGGACACGAATGATGATGGAGAAAAGTGGACAAAGGCAAATGAAAACATTAATCCAGCTAACGGGTTTGATTCCTGGGAGTTATGGAAAATAAGACATCTCTGAAGTGTAGTCTGATCCCCTCACTTGCTCCGTATTTGTAGAAATCACTGACACTGACCCGTCATTTTCCTGGTGAGGGAACAGAAGCTGGAAGAGGGGGCAGGGCTGGGCAAGTGCTCTTTGCCGCTGCCCCCCTCGTAGAGCCTTATACAGAAGCACTGGCGAGTTCTGGGCCGTTAGATGGCAGTTACCAGACAAACGGCTTTATGCTGCTTACAAATTCAGCTAATCCTAGATACTAGAAAATGTAATTATCCATCCCTCTGGTTTCCTGGCACCCAGTTTCATGAAGGTTTTTCTGTAGACAGAATGCCTTTTTCTGCCAAGTGTTAAGAAGGTTATAATCCATCCTCTTCCTTTTGTTATGGCTGCTAGGGAGCTGCGAAGATAGTCAGGCTGGGGCCTGCACTGTGATGTAGTGAGCTAAGCCTCCACCTGCAGTGCCAGCATCCCTATGGGCGATGGTTCGAGTCCTGGCTGCTCCTCTTGCAATTCAGCTCTCTACTATGGCCTGGGAAAGCGGTGAAAGATGGCCCAAGTGCTTGGACCCCTGTGCCTGCAATTATTTTCATAATTTATTGAAAAGAACTACTAATAATATTAAAGAAAAAATATGAAAAAGGAGGACATCTTTCTGCCAGGCGTGGTTCTAAGCACATTCCCTTCTGTTCATTTTTACGTTTTAACGTTCAGGCCTTCTACATAATTTACCGTACTCTCTTCTATTGTCTTCTGCTTTGAAATATACATCATGGCTGGCACTGGACACAGGCGGTTACACTCCCACGTGGGACACCCGCATTCCCCCACAGAGTGCTGCTGCTTCCCTTCCAGCTTCCGGCTAATGGGCACCCTGGGAGGCAGCAGTGAAGGCTCAGGT